GTGACGGACGACAACTGCCTGGGCTGTCACGGCGCGGCCATGACCCACATGTACAAGCAGGACCGGTCCCGGCGGACCATCGACATCGTCTACGTCACGGCCCACGTCGACGTCACCCAGACGCCGTTCTGCGTCGCCGTCGACCACTCCCGGTCCCGGATCGTCGTCGCCATCAGGGGCACCATCAGCATGCAGGTCTGTGTTAAGTCTTTTTTGTAATCTTTTGGAGAAGATTAAGGCGTTTTGTCAGCAAATTCGCTCTTTGATTTTAATTTTTTTTTCTCGTATTAAAATTCTTGGAATTTTTATCATCTCTCGTCTTCATATGGTTTCTGTGATAAAGGAGTACCGGCAGCTAAATTAAAAGAAGCCTTATTTAAAAAAAAATTTTCCATGCCTGAAACAGGTAAATGACATGCTCATGAACTACTGGAGCAGATACGAAATATTCGCTGTCGTATGATTGCAGGATATTTTGACGGACCTGAATGCCGAAGCCGAGATCATTCCGATATCAAAGCCTCGAGAGGATTGGCTCGGCCATAAGGTGAGTCCATTCGCCAGTTACCTGTATATCGCAAGAAGAAAAAACAAAAGAAAAAAAAGAAACGAAAGAAAAATAAATATAAATAAATAAACGACAGCAAAAATAAAACTGTTTGCACGAGCGAAGCTCTGAGACTTTCCCGTTGCGACTTAAAGGGCATGGTGCAAGCGGCCGTGTACATCCGCAACAAGTTGAAGGAGGAGGGGATCCTGAAGGAGGCGATCGAGAAGAGCACGGAGGGGATGAAGGGAGACGAGGAGGCGGGGTTCCAGGGGGAGGGCCAGGGGGCATACCCCCTGGTGCTGGTGGGGCACTCGCTGGGGGCGGGGACGGCGGTCATCCTTGCCATCCTGATGAGGGAGGAGTTTCCCGATCTGGAGGCTTTCGTGTACTCGCCGCCGGGGGGGCTGCTCAGGTGGGGGCAGTCGGGAGGGGGAGGGGGGGCGGGGGGAGGATGCTCGGTCGCGATTATCCAAGGCGCACCGCTTTACTTATTTATTTACGTATTTATTTTAAATGTGATTTTTGGGGGGGCGGGTGTTGATAGCTTTTGACGTTCTCTTGAAAGAAGGGTACTTGGCCCGTGTAAGTTGCATGTTTTTTCCTTTTTTTTTTGTTGGTGGGATCTTTCCACCCGAAATGAAGAAGCGTGATGGGGAAGGAGTCTCTGGGTGACGTTTTCAGGCTCGTGCCCATTTTTTTAATGTTCAAATGTTAAATTTAAATGTACTTCGCCGACAGTTCGTGGCAGATTTAGGACGGATTCGGAGACGGCATGCTCTAACACCGACTATCTCAGCGGCTTTCTGTCGGCGACATGCTTCAGAATCGATGCCAAATGTTACGGCTGCTCGTGGATTTCGTGGAGCCCGTTCTTCCGTGAAGCGGTTGGCACCCTGGAACGGTGCCGGAAAAAGCGTCTCGATGCCATTTTGCAACACTGCTTGCAGTGTTGCAAAATGGCATAGCTGCGGAACATTCTAACGGCCAGGCGTTACGACGAGCACGCCCAGGAATCGTTCGCGAAAAACGTATAAAAATCCCCCGAAATCATTCCGGCACCGCCGATGCCCTTGGACGAGGGATGGAATTGACTCGTTGGCGAACATCCCACAGAATGCCCGGGTCGATGATGGATGGGTCTGTAATAATAATAATTTTGCGCGCAGGAGCCGACAGGAAGACACGCCCTGTTGGACTGGGATTCCGATCATCGGAGACCTTTCACTCGGCTCACGCTAGATGCATTTTTTTTGCTCGAGAAAGTACCCAATCGGTGCAGCAACGTTGTGTCGACGTTGAATCGTAGGGCATTATAATATCTTATCCATAGTCTGAAATTAGCCGATGAGATTGAATATAAATCCGATAACCCCACGATAATCCGATAATCCGAGTACCCAAATGGTACGACACAAGCAGTACTTAGCAGTACTCTACCGAGTACAATCACCCCACGTGAAGGACCCTCAAAACCTTTTCATAGAGATTGCGACTCGAGGCGACACTACAGAGACATCTGGCGGCTTGTTATCGACAACACTGCCTTGAGGCTTCGCGGCGGTGAGGAATCGACTCGTTCGGGGATTCGACCCAGAGGGATCCACCAACGTAACACGCGAGTCTCGTCGAGTCCGCCGCTCGGAAGAGTTCTTGACGGGCGCTCGCTGGATCGACGGGGTGACAACTATATTGCGACCCTGTTAATGAATGGGATTGGAACGGAGTGTCGCCTCGAGTTAGAGTCTCTAAGGCTATAAGGCTTACGGAAATGAGGCTCATGGCCTTATTTCCTTTTCTGAATCAGAATTGACATTGATTACTTGCATGACTCGACCCTTTCTGGTTAGGAGTGGAAAAAACTCCACGGGCATGTTTTCATATTTGATTCTTATTTCATGCTTGATCCTGAAGTACTTTGAGTCTCCTTCTGCCCGATCGTCTCCTTAAACAGGCCTATCTAGAAATTCCTATACCTTCTCTTATGTTGTACATCGGGTACTGCATGAAAAATGCATGGTACTGTTTATTTCAGGGCATCGGGGTAAGAATCGTGGAATCGGCAGTTAGGCGCCATCTCGCGTCGATTCGTAGAATTTATTTTCCGTCGATGCGATGTGGACTTCAACCAAGTCTCAACGGTTCAACCTTCAACCAAGTCTCAACGGTTCAACCTTTTCTCAATGTCGGCACAACGTTGTGGTGCCGAATGGGTACTTTTCAGTATTCTCGCGAATTTTCAATTTGTCGCTCGTGCACTTGGATCGGCTGAGGTTCTCCCCGGTTCTTTCGTCGAAGCGTTTTTATCATCATCCGGATTTCCTTGTCGCACGTGCAGCCTGTCGGCGGCGAAGTACACGCAGGAGTTCTGCACGTCGGTGATCCTGGGCAAGGACGTGGTGGCGCGGATCGGGTTGAGCCAGATGGAGGTGCTCCGAGCGGACCTTCTCAACGTCCTCACGCGAAGCAGGGAGACGAAGGTGGAGTGATTTCCTTCTTTGGGGGGGGTGGGGGGGGGGGGGGGGAGGGGGGCTTTCTTGAGGGGGAATTTTGTGTCATTATGTGACATACGTTAAGTCGATGAGAAACCAGGCGTTCTAAGCCCCTGAATAATCCCTCATTCCTGAACCCCATCTCGCTCCTCCCTAATCCCATCTAACCCCTTGAAGCGTCTAAGAACCAGCCTTCGAAGGGCTGCTTGATGGAACGCGGGGTCGCTTAATGTGCCCACAGTGGGGGACGATCCTGGGCTGCATGTGCTGCCGCCCCCAGGAGGAGCTGGACTCCATGCTCCTGGAAGAATTCCTCGGGAACCGGGAGAAGATCCGGGCGAACACCCACGCTCCGAGGGATTCCACCATCGTGCTCACCACCCACCAGACCCTCTACCCCCCCGGGCGCATCATCCACATCGTCCGGCGTCATCCCACCGACGAAGAGTGAGAGGATATTTCTCGCTTTAACCCGTGCAAAGAGAAAAATCCAACTAATAAATTTGCGCTCTGCCGTTTTGGGAATCCTTTTTGCAGGAAACGCTACGAAACAACTTGGAGGTGAGTCTGTCGTCTCTCATCGATCGGATCCACATATTTAGTAGTCATGTCGTGTTCACTTGAACTCGTGCATCGTTCGATCCCCTCCCCGCCCCCCCCTTCCCCCCCCCCCCCCCACCCCCCCCCCCCCCCCC